TACCCTTACAGCTCATATTATTATCTACTTATATTTTCAAAACACCTTATGTTTTCTATGTGTATATGTGCAAAATGTTTGATTACATATATGGGCCTGCTCTTGAGAGGCAAAGACACCTATGGAAATTCTGTAACTATGCAGTCACTGGGTTTGTTCTAACATTCACAAATATTAGGATTTCCATCTGCAGACTCCAGAAGGTGTAGAATCCTGTGTTTGTGCAGTGCCTAGCACAATGGAGGTCTGGTCCCTGACTAAGGCTTCTCGGCATTATGGTGATACAAATCACTAATAATAAGCACAGTGTTTTTGAGAGTGTAACTAGCACATACATTTGTTAGGTAAGAGAAAGGTTTTTCATGTGCAAATGGAAACTCGTTTGAAAACAATACAGTCAGTGCAGGGTGTCTAATGTATTTAGCTGTTCCCCACCCCCTGTATTTAGTTTTAGATACTGTCCAGTCAGTAGGTGTTTGAAAATGCAGAAAAATCTTTCCAAGTTACATTGGGGAAGTAGGGAAAATGCGCTCACTATAGGCCACATCCTGTTCTCTTGAAATCAATGGAAATTGCTTTGTAAGTACAACATGAGCCAGATTCACCTTTCATTTATATCAGCTTTCAGCACTGAACTGCGTTCAGTCAGTTACTCCTGAGTTCCTGATGTACATTGGTGTGGGTGGAAAATTAGGCTCTAGAGGGGCTGCAGAGAGCGGGGAGGAGGAGGTATGAATGCTAGGGGGAGGTTATTGCAAAGGTGGAGAGCTGGGCCAAACAACAAATGACCTTTATGTAACTGGTCTTTGACCAGCTACCAGAGAAGCATGTGTGGATTGGGGTTGGGAGAGGGCGGGAGGAGAAATTCAGCTCATCTTTTCATTGTGGTATATTCTGTTGTACAACAAGCACACACAGTCCTTGGCTGCCTCTGTTTTAAAGCAGCAGGCAGCCATTGCAAAAGTTCTGCCTGCTCAACCCACGCTTGGTGTCACCTCAGCTCTAAACCAGGGTGCTGCCTGTTGCTTGGAAATTCTGCGTTTAGGAATTTGAGGGTTATGCTAATAAATCCTAAGCAGCATCTACCTTACCAATTCAGTCATATTAGCTGCCCCGCCCCCAAACTATTTGTCTTTATCTTCTACATACTGTTTAAAACACATACAAGTCAGTAGGATTGAGGCTTCTACGGGCACACCTACACTGGGAAATCATTTCGAAAGAACTTATTTTGAAATAATAACTCCCAAAATAACTATTTGGAAATAGCATGTCCCACACTACAGGGAAGCCTTGAAATTAGTCCGAGGCAGGCTCCCTTAATGTGGCCATGCTACCTCAACTGAGAGCCCCAGGAAACACTGGGGAGTAATTACTGTGAATGGCCCTGAGGAGTAGTTATTTTGAAATAGCAGCACAGGAGCATCCACACTACTGCTATTTTAAAATAACTATTTCAAAATAAGAATTATTCCTCATGGAAAGCAGGAGTTATTATTTCAAAATAACCAGCCGCTTATTTGAAATAACAAGAGTGAACATGCTGCTTGTTCTTTTGGAATGAGGGGAGTTAGTTTGAAATAACTCCGTAGTGCAGACTAGGGCTAAGTGACTTAGGCATTTTTTGTAAATGACCCAGCGTGCTTTATTATCGATTTTCCTTCAAACAGCTCCTAACTGCTGCTGAGTAATTGCCAGTGAGATGTACAGTTAGGCATCCTCCATCAATTTCTAGAGAAATAGGTAGCTGATTAAAAGAATGTATGTCAGACATCCACTGGAAAAAAAAACCCCACACAGCTTATTTTAATTTGTAAGGTATTAAATGCTTTGTCACATCTTGACCTGATTTATCATTGAGAAGCTGAGCCATTTATATTTATGTAGGTACTCTATTGGTTCCAGATCAGCTGTTTTATTGTGAAGTCCTGGGAGTATTGTTCATGTCTCTTGTTAGTGCAGCTACAAAGGCAAACAAATGTAATTTTAGCTCTACATTAAGGTTGGATTTAATAAGGTAGCTGCTATACTGAGATTTTCTGTCGTAGAATCTCCAAAACCATACTTCCAACGATATGCCACACTCCTTCTACTCTTCCCAATGGGGGATGGTGCAGAGTGCACACTGGGCACTAGATATCATGCTTAAATACTTGGCGTTCTGTGAGCACAGATCTTTTTAAAGCAATAGCTGTGGTAGCAGACATGAAAGCTGCTGCTTTAAAATGACAAGGAATGCTCCTTGAAAGAGATTGGGCACTTACAATATTTCTAAAGTTTCGAGAAGCTTGCTAGGTAATGTCGAGCAAATAAACCAAACCTCCTTACTAGTAGGAAACTTAGCAGTGGTATAGATACATTTCCTCCTTCCAAGGAGGAAAAATGGTCCCGGTGGAGCCCTAGAACCTGAGTTCTTCAACATGGCCTCTTATCCATCCTTAATAAGCAGGCTTATCCAGCAGAAACTCCAGCCCCTTCCGCCCCCCCATACTTTATTTGGAGTGGAGAATCCTGGCCCTATTGCATGCTAAGACTGATTCTTCCACAGTGCACATCTCCACCCTGAGGCTGAAGCAGTTGGCAAACTACTCTGTTTTGTGCAAGTTGAAGGCCCCCAGCAAGAAGTCCTGGGTCAGAGAAAATGTGAATGTCCCTGACCTAAACAAAGATAAGAGCTGCTAAGTGCACATCATGTCTTGTTTTTCAAGGACAGTCAGATTAAAGTAACTCATGAAATGAGTGAGTCTCTGTGCTTTGCACTGGCTGTATCAGAGCTGCCTGAAACAAATACAGAAATAAGTATGTACAAAAGAATAAAGTAGCCAATGTAAATCAAGAGTCACTCCCCTGAAGTCAATGGAGTTACACTGGGATATCATGGATGGATGCTGATGAGACCAGTCAAGCCCAATCGTCTTGCAACAACACTGCATCTAGAGCAGGAATCTCTGTCAGGAACAGGCACAGACTCAGACTGTTTCACTTACTGTCCAAGAGAGATCGCTGAGACATAGTCACTAGACGTGCAGTTATAGATACAGAGACTGGGACTGAAGTGAAGCAAAGTTAATTATCAGAGTGTAGGGGGAACATTCAGGGGGATACTTGAGAGGTAGCACAAGTATATTTTGGGCGCCCTCTGGTATCACTCATTTTTAGAGGTGAAAGCAAATGTGTGGGTCACCCCATCCATCAGCGCCTTGCCCTTTGGGTAGTGGGGTAAAGACAGATCTTAAAGGTGTATCTACAGTGCAGTGAAAAAGCTGAACCTGGCCCATGTCAGATACTTCTGGCTTGCAGGGCTTGGGCATCAAGGCTATAAAATTGCAGGGCAGACATCCTGGACTTGTGCACTGCAATTGTAATAGCCCTGTAGCCCAAGCCCTGCACATCACAGTCAGCAGACATGAGCCAAATGCAGCTGTTTTACTGCAGTGGAGAAATGCCCAAAGTGTGCACAGATCTGGCAAGTCTTGGGTGGGAGGGGGAGAGGAGATGGGAGTTCAAAGGGAATAGTGCCTCTTCATCCCCATCAAATAAAAGAAGCAGAGAAATCTTTGTTGTGGCCAGCCAGGCTTGCATGATACAAGAGAATGCTCTGATTTCTAAGGGTCCATCTACACAGCAGCGTTATTTCAGACAAACTGACGTTACTCCGAAATAACACAGCCCGTGTCTACACAGCAAGCAGGAGGACTTCTTACTCCGACTCCTGTAACCCTCATGTCATGAGGAGGAAGGGAAGTCGGAGGAAGAGTGCTCCACCTTGGACTTTCTGCTGTGCAGACAGCGTTAAAAGCCGAGTTAAGCTATTTCGACTTCAGCTACACAATTGACATAGCTCAAGCTGCACATCTTATTTCGGCTTTAGCCCTGCCGTACAGATGTGCCCGAAGAGAGCTGAGTTATCCCTGCAGAGCTCGCAGCTGGCACAAAAAAGCTCATGCTCCACCCCGTGCTACACTGTTCCAGGCACTGTGAATAGCTCACATGAGTGGGGCCCCACAATATTGGCCCACTTGTGGTTACAGGATTTGCAGCATTATCTGAACTGCATTGAGACTAGACCAGCACCTGCTGCTGCAAATGAGACATGAGGTGCAAGAACTGAGCTGGGGGAGACCGTGGCAAATCCTTATTGGAACCTGGCATAGAACTGAATAGGGCTGAAACCAACTAGCAGAGTCATTGAAAAGCTATTCTAAAACACTCTGCCATTTCATAGGGAATTGTGTCTCTGCTGCAGAAGTCTATGCATCGATTTAAAATGCTACAGAAAGATCATTGTTCTTTATCAAGCTGTATAGGGTGAGTCCATAAAGACAATGACTGCAGAGAAGAAGGATGATCGAAAGCACTGGATTGAGGAATAACATTTTCAAATGTGCCTAAAGCTCATTACAAGTCAAAGGGACACGAACACCTAAGCCATTTTGGATAATGGGACATGGGCTCCTAAGTCACTTAGACATTTTTTAAACCGTTGGTTCCTTGATGTGTCATAGAGGTCCTGTGTAACCTGGGAATTCAGTTTCCCAGCTAGGGATAATACTACTCTGTTTCTGCCACTCTTACTCTGTATTAGACTATACACTCTTAGAGGTAGGTGCTGTTTCTTACTATAGATGATCTGACCTAGCAGAAAGGGGCCTCACTTGGGTCCTGCTATAATAAAAATTGATAATAATTAAACTTGTCCCCATATATCTCAGTCTGCATTTCCCATCCAAAATTGTAACACACTCATAAGTAATCCTCTGTACTACAGAGAGACCCCAAGAACGCCCAGTGAAGCGACTGCCATTTCATTTTAACATCTCTGATTTTTGTGCCACATGTACGGAGCTTTTTTGGGGATGGAAATGAAACATACATGCTCGAAGTCAGTCAGTCCCAGATCTGCAACTCTCTGAAAGGAGAAAATCTTCCAAGAGATTCTGCTGGAGAGTGCAGCTGAAGAATTCCCCTCCAATCCCCCTGTCCTAACAATAGTCACTTACTTGTAAAATTCTTGAGTGCCTCGATGCTAAAGGCTTTGTCCAGGACTCGGATCTCAGCCAGTTCCTTCTCTTCCTCCAGCAGTAGGCAGACAATTCTCTGGCCAAGAAATCCCCCTGCTCCTGTCACCAGACAGCTCACCCCAGCCAAAGACATGGCACCCGATTGCTACCTAGCTTCAAGGCAGCCACCTCCAGACCCTGCAATGGCAGCTCCTCTTCCTGACTGAGAAGAAAAAGAGCATCAGCTTGAAGAAGCTTGGTGAGACCAACATTAACACCAGAAAGGGCCTCCAGCCAGAAACAACCACCCAGTTTCATACAGCAACCCTAACGCGATAATTTCATTAATCTGGCACATTAATAGTCAGAAGTTGCCTCTACATTTTTTTCATGGCAAATCACTAAACACTTACTAATTAGATATTGTAATTAACAAATCTGCAGAAGATAACAATTAAAATCAATGCACATCATAAATAAACCTTACTGACGTCTGTCTCGGGCCTTGCTACTTACTGCCTAGGGTTCAGTAGGCAAGATCTGAAGAGTGGCTTGTATTTATGTACTGCACAGCTAGCACTGCTCTTATCTTCCCTTTCCCTCCCTCCCATCCTCATCATTTGCCTTGGATGATTGATGACACACAGACTCCCCCGCGCCCTCTCACCATTGGTTTGCAGAGCACCCTTGGACTTCTGAATGCCCATGCAAGTGTAGTCCCTTGTGCGAAATCTTTCTAGGATAGAAATAAAATGCTCCTGGGACAATTTCTGTTGCAGCCTGTGCCAGGTGCTGAAGCTCTGACCCTTTGCCACTAACTTCCCACAGGGAAAAAGACCATTTTTGTTTCAGAGGCTTGTCTGTGGTGCTCATGCTTCTTGTCCTTCGCTTGGGTGCCCATGCCTCGGGGCTGCCTTTCCTCCTTACCCAGCAGCCAGGGTGGCAGGCGTCAATGCCATATTAAATACTTTGGAAAATGACTCACCCATAGCCTGGGAAGCAAATAATCTATAGATTCAAAACTCTTCCCCAGGAAAGTCAACAAACACGGCTAGCTGTGCGGTCAGCAACACCTCTGTGAACTAGTCCATTCAAATGGAAAAACAATCACTTTGACAAACCCTCTGAATTAGTTGCCAAGAAGTATGAGCGGCCAGCTGTTAGAAAGCTCCAGCAAGACTGTCTCAACTCAGTGGGCTTAATCCACAAAGGGACCTTAGGCATTGCAATGATGAACCTAACTTTAGGCACCCTACTACCCTATGGAATCCACCAGCCTGATTTAGGTTCCCAGATTCCCTATATACAATGCGGGCAGAGAGTTAGGCGCCTCAGAATGGGAGCCACAAAATCCAGCATGTTAGGAATCTGTCAAAGCTTGCCTTGTCCCCCCGGCCTCCCAGGTCTATGCGTAAGCCCTAGTCCTCAACCAGAGGTAAGCACCTAACTCTGAACCAGAGGGAGATGCTTGTCTCCTCTCGGGAGTCACAGGTATGAATCCTCTCTGGAATTAAGTGCCTAAGACAGGTCATCCCTTCATAAGAACATCAGAATGGTCATACTGGGTCAGACCAAAGATCCCTCTAGCCCAGCATCCTGTCTGGTGATAGCAGCCAATATCAGGTGTCTCAGAGGGAATGAACAGAAACATGGAATCACTAAGTGATCCCTTCCCTGTTGCCCATTCCCAGCTTCTGGCTAACAGATAAACCAGGAAGTAGTGATATTCCCCTATCAGCTAGGGGTTAATGCACTGTGGGAAGTAGGAGACTAAGTTCAAATGTAACTTGACTCTACTCACCCTCCCCCACCTCACTGATGAATGCCCTGACTGGCTATAGGGTATGCTGTTATAGGTTTCTGAAGTTGTTCTGCATTTATGAAAGTGGGTGCCCTAAACACTAGACTATAGACTCCATCTCTCTCTTTCTCTCTGGCCCCAAAAAAGTTGGAGTCGGAGCTTCACAATCTCTTATTTAATGCCCCGCCTAAATAATTCCTAAACATTCTTTCTTTTTTTAACACAATGTTAATCTGCAGCTAGCCAAGGATTTGGTGTACAGCTTTGGAAATAGCATTTTAAACCCTCCCCCCTTCTCCCTACCCACAAGATTTCAGATACAAGCAGAATATCAAAAATGTCATTGGGCCCTCGGAATATTGAGGCCTCCACAGCCAGGGTATGCATATACTAAGACCATTTGTGCAAGCATTTCAATGGCAAAGTCCTTGGGAAATTCCTCCCCTTAAAACAAGCCCTTTAAAAAACTATCTGTGATTTTCTGCAAGGCTGCTTTAGTTCAAAACCTTGAAACAATGTATTCCCATCAGAGGCTGGTGCAAGAGTTTTCTTTCTGGGCAAGATGGCCCATTTATTAAGAAAAAAAAGTCACGACCTATAGTTAATGATGAAACCCATTAGTTGTCCATGGGCCCTTTTCATAAATTCTTCCCAGGACTCCCAAAGAAAGCAAATATGTTTCCTTGGGGGAAAACTGAAAAGAAAAATAATACCAAAATGCTTTAGGATACTATATTTACGCATAGTCCTATTGCCCATCACACCTCAGAGACTTGGCAAGGATCACTACCAGGATGTGAGACGTCCACAGAACACTCGGGTGGCTCCAGGGACAGTGGGAGATGAGGAAGGAATTGTTTGTGTGCCAAGACTTCCAGTTCTGTCTGTTTCCCATGTTCCTTCCATTAAGTTATTCACAGCTAAGATGTTTGACAGGTTGTCCCATTATTTTCCTACTTGTCTCTCTATGCAACCCATTGCTATTTCCCATGCCCCCTCCTCCTTCAGCCCTTCATTGAGGATGGCATTTTTACTTACCTGTGGGCTTTTGTCACTAAGACAGATGAAAGCTTCTAGCAGAGTTCCTTAAGGATCAGTCTCAGAACCAATCTTATTTAATATATTTATTAGTGACCTTGGCACAAAATAGGAGTGTGCAGATGAAATGTGCTGATACAAAATTGGGAGGCCTCATTAATGCAGGGGTAGATCAGAATCTTATACAGGAAGAACCAAATGACCTTGGAGACCAGAGTAACAAAAATGGGATGACTGGCGTAACAAAAAAAGCTTCTGCTGCTGGAATACTGTGACCAATTCTGGTGTCTCAGTTCAAGAAGGATGTTAATACATTGGAGAGGATTCAGCAAAGAGCCAGAAGATTCACTAGAGAATTGTGCAGAAAAGGACCTGGGGATCACAGTGGATGAGAAGTTGGATATGAGTCAACAATGTGCCCTTGTAGTAAAAAAAGCTAATGGCATATTGGATTGCATTAGGAGGAGCATTGCCAGCAGATCTAAAGAAGTGATTATTCCCCTTTATTTAGCACTGGTGAGGCCACATCTGGAGTATTGTGTCCAGTTCTGCCTCTCCCGCCCACCCCACTACAGAAAGGATGTGGACGCATTGGCCACAGTCCAGCAGAGGGCAATGAAAATGATTAGGGGGCTGGAGCACATGACCTATGAGGAGAGGCTGAGGGATTTGGAGTTGTATAGTCTACAGAAGGGGGGAAAGATTTGATAGCAGCCTTCAAACTTCCTGAAGGGGGGTTCCAAAGAGGATGGAGAGAGGCTGTTCACTGTGGTGGCAGATGGCAGAACAAGGAGCAGTGATCTCAAGTTGCAGTGTGGGAGGCCCAGGCTGGATATTAGGAAAAGGTATTTTACTAGGAGGGCAGTGAAGCACTGGGATGGATTAACTGAAAGGCAATGGAATATCCATCCCTTGGCGGTTTTTAAGGCCAGGCTTGATTTAGTTGGGGCTGGTTCTGCTTTGAGCACGGGGTAGGACTAGATGACCTCCTAAGGTCTCATCCAATCCTAATCTTCTTTGATTCTGTGATTAGATGGCTGGAAGTAGAAGGTAGGTAAATTCAGACCAGAAATGACACACAGGCTGCCCCCGACTTGCAACGTGATCGGCTCCGGGGATAGTGTTGCAAGTTGGGGGTGTTGTAACTCGAGCCCGCATTTAAGAGAGGTGTCGTATGCCATTGTAAATGTGGGGCCGAGGATGTAAGCTGGGGGAATTTAGCCCCTTCCACACTTATGGAAAAGGTCGTAAAGTGCAGGGGGTCATAAATCGGGCCGTCGCAAAGCGGGGGTCTCTTGTATACATTTTTAACAGTCAAGGTAATTAACCACTAGAACATTTACTAAGGGTCATGGTGGAGTCTCCATCACTGGAATGTATTACATCAATGTGGATGGTTTTTCTTAAAAAATCTGCTCTATAAATTACTTTGGGGAACGTATGCACGCAGCCCATTACAACCTCTCATCAAGGCAATGGGGTTTATACATAAACAAGTTATGGTAGAAAACAGCCTAACTCAATGTTAGCAGTTTCTCTTTTAAAGGAAAGCTGACCCCGCAAGCGCCCAGCTTTGCATCTTTAGTAAAAGAGCAACACCAGGAACCTGTCTCTGTGACATATTCACGTGAGAAACCATTAGTTCTTGATCACAGATCTTCACTTTTCTCATGGTGCCAGCCACTGTCTTGTGGTAAAAAGACTCATGTGGACTCCTCCCCTCCTCAGCTGTAGCCACCTCCTCCCCCCAGAGTAAATATGAGGGGAGGGTTCAGGATGAAAAGGAACGCACTGTACTGTGTAAAATGATATAGCTACTTCTGAATGGATTTTCTCTTCCTGGCTA